TTTATCAAAACTATTTATTTTCAACTTCTACTTTCATCTTTATCAAAGGCAAAAACAGCTAATGCTTTAGCTAAAAAAAATACTTATGTTCTTCAGCATTTGGCAAGACTTTTGCTGTTAACAGCAGAAGCAGAGGCCAGACCAAGCTAGCACTTGGACATTTATGATATTTAACTTAAAATTCTAAAACTGTACTTGATTACTTGTCATCATCCTTTTTTTTTCTTTCAAATGTTTTGTCAATTACATAAAAATAATAATATTTTCAGAAATGTAACAACCCGACCCGAGAGAAACAAACCCAACCCATCTGCTTCTTAGAAATAGGAAAAGCCAAAACGACATCATTTTAGGAAACTCCGAAAACGACGTCGTTTTGATATGGAAGAAAAATAGAAGTAGGTAAAACGACGTCGTTTTGAGAGCATCAAAACGATGTAGTTTTGGTGATAGAAAAAGAAAAAAAAAATTAGGGCAACCAGAGGCGTGTACACCTCTGGTTGCCGAAGAAGACGAAGAGGAGGTTGGAACCTGCATGCCGAAGAAGGAAGAAGAGGCGTGCAGGGCTCTCCGTCCTCCCGTCTATTAAAGGAGAAAGGAAGAAATTGGAAAGGAGAGAGAGAGAGTAAATCATGAAAAGAGAGAAAGCAACTCAGAAGAGAGAGATAAAGCGGGTCTGGTGCGTGCGACGACTGGATTTGCGTGGCCGATAGTCGTGTGAATCCAAAAAAATGAAGGGACCCAGTGTGCGACCAAGAAAGAAGGAGACTTGCTACAACTTGCAGCCAGAGAAGAAGGAGATCTGCAACGGTTGGCCGCACGATCCCGCATATTCTTGGCTCCAGCGCAATTTCACCATATATGTGCCGGATCTGCATACAAGTATGGTGGCATGTGGCGATTCCGGTGATCGGGATCGCACTATGGTAAAACTCGATCCTCTTTTTGTATTCTAATTATTTTTATAAGTGTTTGTCATTAACCTACATATTTTCTATTTGTAAACGAGAGAATTATCTGAATAATACTGGATTTAGAGGAGAGCATAGACCCAAGCCAATGAGGATGCCGACACCTTTCGATTCGATTATAGGTAAAAGATTGGATTAGTCTCATTTAGATGCCCTCATGTTTTTATGAAACCTTATTTTTCGTTGAAATGACTTGTTTACAAACTTTACTAACCCTTCACGTTTTCTACTACGAGTTCTGCAAACTCATCATATGTGTGTGTGTGTGCAATTGTGTATGATTGGAGACCTACATGATATTGTGTATGACATATAATTATATATTCATATTGTTACTTGTATGTATATGTAGATTTTATGCATGTTAGTTATCGAGTTATAGGTGTGTGACGCATATATATATGTGTGTAATTGTAGGTTGTGCAACGTATGTACGTATGAGTGAATAACTTGTATGTATCTGCATATAGAATGCGCATATGCCTTGTGTAAATGTACAAACATATTCATATTGTATGTGTTGCGTGCGCATATATATTTATTTGAGTTGAAAACTGTGCATATAAAGTGTATATATTGTGCTTATTGTGTAAGCATATTGATATATAATATATATGATATATAAGAAGGTGCAAGCCTGAATAGGTCATTTAGTGATGGACCTGATTAGTAAAAGAATAACATAAGAATCTTTAAAAGACGAGAAAATCTATTTAACCAGTAACACCGATGGGTGGGTGTATAGCTTTTTGGCATGTGACTGTGGTAAACCCTACCCGTGGATACAACTTTAGTCAGACGTAACGAAATGATAAAAACTGTAAACTATATACTGTGTACTAAAAATTGTGAACTGTGAACTGAACTATCATGTATTCACGTGGTAGAGGGGATCCTTACTGCATTGGTTGATGTCGACAGAAACGGGATCGCACGGTAAGACTATTTTTAATAAGATATAAACTGATATGAATTGATAGGAAGGCATGAGTAAAGTTTACAATACAGAAATGCTGAATTAATATCTACTGAACTACTTACTACTTAATTTGTGATACTGAATACTGAACTATATTATTTATGGAACTGTTATGCCCCGAGTTATGATACTTAATAAGGAATTCTAAATATTTACTTAATGAACTGATTTAGAAAATTTGGTGATTGAGTGTGTGCATGTCACTGTTGTGAGTATTGTCCATTTTCTTTACTGAGTCTGTGAAACTCACCCCAATTCACACCCCCCAATGCATATTAGTTCAAATCACGAGCAAGTTCAAGGTCGAATGAAGACTTTGAAAAACCTTTAGTGATAGTAAGAGTTCGTCTTATAAAGTCAGTTTAATTATATCACAGTGATGTAATATAAAGAATTTTATAAGTCTCGTGATTTGTAATTCCGTATAGGGGATGATTGAATCTTAAGTTTTCGTTTAGTACTGCGTAAATTTATCAGGTTATGTGTGAGTAATAGCGTTCATTTCTCAACAAAAAAAATGGGTCGTTACAAAAAAAATGTTTTTCTTGAGCCGAATACAAGACAAATGTATCTTTGTGACCTATATATAAGGATTAAAAACAATTTTCAGCCCTAATACAAGGATATGATGTGGTCATAGGTACTAAAACCGTGAGATAACATGTTTCTATTTATATTATATCAAGAATTGACATACTTATTTTATATGTTACTCGGAAAAAAAAATAAATTATTTCACTATCATATTTCCGTATTGGTATATTAAATATATTTTTACTATCATTGTTTAAACATAACTGAAATCTAAATTATGTCTAGACTTGACATGTTTATCTTAAATGTTATTGAAAAATTTTAAAATTATTTTATACTATGTTTCTTTTGTGGTTTACTTACTAAAACTATTCTCTTTATCATTGTTTATACTTGTTTAATTTAACTAATTTGAGTTTTTAATTATTCACTAAATATGAGCTCACTCATTTTTTCTTTACAGATTTTAAAGAATAAACTATACATATAAAACTTAATGTTTTGGTGGCTCAGGAACTCCATCAAGCACCGGGGGAAAGAGATGGAGAGAAAGGCTGTTTGGAAGGTAGTAATACCATATGGGAGGGGCTTATGGAGAAGAATAGGAGCTGGGAGACAACATTTTTCATAATGTGTTAAATGGGAGATTGGTAGGGGCAATAAAGTTCTCTTTTGGGAGGACATGTGGCTTGGGGAACAAAGTCTCAAAAACTTATTTCCAAGAGTTTATATCATTACACAAAGGAAGAAGGTGATGGTGGAGGATGTCTTTAGAGAGAGGGAAGGTAGGGGTGTGTGGGATTTGTTTCTGACCAAAAATCTTAGTGATTGGGAGATTGATGACATGGCACTTCTTCAACTTTTGTCTAGCATGCATTTGAATGATACATAGGATAGGTTGGTATGGAGGCTTAAGAACAATGGAATGCTCAGGTCAACTCCTATTATAACCATCTTGTTAGACATAATGGAGAGAATGTTATATTTCCTGTTGAACGCACATGGAAAAACGACCGCACCTCCTAAAATGGCGTTCTTTACTTGGGAAGCGAGTCGGGAATGTATTTTAACTATCAATATTCTAATGAGAAGGGGCAATATCATGGCTAATGCTTGTTATATGTGCATGAAGAATGTTGAATCTTGCAACTATTTACTCCTATGGTTTCCGGTGGATATAATATTTGGACAGTAGTTTGTAGTCTTCTTGGGTAATGGCGGAGTCAATTAGGGAGGAACTTGTTGCTTGGGGTGGGATATGCAAGAAATCAAAACTTATAAATCTTATACCTCTAACCATTTTTTGGATTATGTGAAAAGAAAGGAACAATAGAGCATTTGATGAGTGTGTGGGGGATTTGTCCAAAATTAGAAATAGTTAGATACATACTTTTGGGGTTCTAACGCTGGTCACGATCTCTAGGGGTGGGATGATTTTCGACAAGTTATTAATATACTAACTGATCTATAAATAGTTTTGTATATGAGTTGCACCCCCTTGGTGTTATATACATAATATTCACGTTATTTTTATCTTTAAAAAAAAAAGAACTCTATCAAGCACTTATTAACTTTATCTTTGATTTGGATTTTAGAGATTGTTTTTCTTTCAAAAGCTTAATTCTTGAAGTTTTGAGGTGTATAACCTATTTGAATGAGTTTTTTAACATTTAATTATATGTATATTTGTCTAATTTATTGTCTATGCTTTATCTTAAGGTTTTCCATGCTTTTGAGGTTTCCTACAAATGCGTGTCACTATGACGTGCCTAGTACTGAGAATCAATTTTTTTTTTCCCTCCAAATATGTGCCATAACACAATAGTTTCTTGTCTGTAAAGTCTCTTTATCACCATATTGCCACTCTTTTCAAGCTCCATTTATCTCTTCTTTAGAAGAACTTTTGGAAGAAGAAAGCCTCCAACCCCCCCTGCGTGGTTGCTGCCCCTTTTGCATAGGAAGCAGGGAATTAGAGAATTTGAAACCACAGACCATATTCTTTTGTGGTGTTATTTTGTTAGCATTTATGGTGTTCGGTTATTGACTTGAGATGGTGCAATATGAGCCTTGGGCTTGGCATGACAATCAAGGTGATAAGAGTAGTAAAAGCTTATCTCTCTCATTCCATTGGTTCCCATTTGGGTTATTTGGAGGGAGAAAAATAAGAGGCCGTTTGAGGATGTGTATAAGAAAAGTTACGAGAAGAAACCTTCTTTTTTCATTTAAGGGTCATTCATTAGTAGAAAATTTTGGGGATCTAACTGATAGTTTAACCACTTTGTAACTTTTCCTTTTGTATATGGGTTTCACAAACTCCATGCCTCTTCATTTGTACACACCTATTTTCCTCTAAACAAAATTAATGTTATAACAAGGTAAAAGATGGCAGATAGAGAAGGATTTGTAACACAAGGAATAATAAGATTACGGTCAGTTTTTGCCATTAGTATTATTTATCACTCTTCCTTCTATAACTTTCTCCTTGGAAAATTTAGTTATTTTATAAGGTAGGAAAATAAAGCACCACAAAGATGACAATGCAAGGCAAAAAAGAAAAGGTCTTTCTTGCACTTTGTTATTTTAGAAATATGAATTTAGCATTTATTTTGGTCGTCTCTCCATCATCAGTTTGAACATGCTTCTATGGGCTAGATTTGCTCGCCATCTATTGGAGAATAAAAGGTCCTCAAGGAACAAAGCCAAGCTCACTTTCCTGTAAAACAAATACTTCTTTTTATAAAAAATATTCCTTATAATTCTGGATCCCAGCAAGCTTGATGTCTTCCAAATTGTGCTGAAACATTTTTACACAAATCTTAAAAAATCAGCTAGCATATATATTCAGTACATGGTGGCCCAACAAACAATATAGCAGGTAGATGTGCATAAGTATGAGTAAAATTGAAGTTCTGGAAGTTAGAAGCATGAGAAAGTATTCAATAAATTTTGACACTTTGGGACTACAATCGCGTGGGTGTATTTCTTGGTTGACCACTGACCAAACAGACAGGTGGAGACATCTGTTATGTCGTAAAATGTCATTCAGTTTACATATGTCTAATGATTGTTGGTTGAGAGAAGAGAAACTGCAGGTGCCAGAGCATAACATGATAATACATTATTCTGTACTGCAAAGACAAGGAAAATAGAGATTTATATTGATGGGCAGAGATTCATTTACAGATAGATGGATGAGATCAGAGATTCTCCAAGCTAAAGACTGAGTATACCTTCTCCAACTTTAATAACTGCATGATATATAAAGGACAAGTTCCTAAACTTATAGTACTGTGAAATTTTCCCCAGAGACAAAAGTGGTTGACTTGCTGGATGTAGTCTGGTCCCAATCATTTAGCTAATGATAATGATAGGATGAAATTTCCTGTTGAGGATTGAAATATTTAGAAACTTAGCTGGGGAAAGATCACATTACCATACATGCATATTTTTCAGCACTGGACAGGATCACAACAAATTCTTGTCCAATCAGTATTAGACAAAATGATATGTATAACACAAAATTCCTTTGAGATTTTGAAGAGTAACGGATTCGAGAAATTTGATGAATCATTCATAACTAAAGACTTCACATCCCACCAGTGCAGAGTCAGACCAACGGTGCATGGTCATGGTTAAGGTATAGCACTTTTAAATTATAATC